GGCATCCATCGCCATTAATTTCTACCCTGTCGTACGAAGAAATGGTATGAGACCTAACACATATGTTCAAAGGGAGGTACACGAAGCAAATGTTTAGGAGCAAGTGATGCCATGTTTTAAGAAAAATAAAAAAAAGCAATCTCATGTCACGTGATGCATGTTTAGTGGATCCTTTATTCAGTCAAAGTTTAACAATTTAATGCAGAAATATGGAGTTGGAGTGAATTTTCGGAAAACATTTTTATTGTACTTCTGTTATATACGAGAACTGATTTCTTCCAATCAACGAATCTGCTGTGTGGCCCCTGTTCTGGTCCCATTCGGGATTCATGTCATTAGTCGATTTGATAGTTGGGTTTTCGAGTGCATAGTGGTAGAGGGCACGAACTGCATGAAGAAGACGGAGGAATTCGTTTTGCTGCATAAAATCAGTATCTTTCAATAATGTAAAGGTAGGGCGAAAGTCAAAACAATTCGCCAATAGACATAACGAGATTCAACGGAAATTCCTCGCATTCAAAATGGCATTATTAGGAATGAAAATTCCACAATTCTTCTGTGTGCGTTCCCTGTGTCACCTTTGTTTACTGCAGGTTCCCGTCTCTAACAGATTAAACATTAATTTTTTTCCCATTTACAGTACTAATGCGACTGCAATACAGGAAAAAAATCGCAACCTTTGATGAACTTTCGCCCTCGTCGGCTCCATTGTGTCGTTCTTTCGAATAAATAAAGACTAGCGGCCTGCGGCCGCTACGCTGGCCGTCTAATAGGTGGAAATTTGAATCGTCTATTGTGAGCATAACGTCTCCTTGACAATCCTCTGTTCACCTCATTACCCGTTCGGAACTGAACCGCTTCATGTATACACTTATAGCTTACAGTACACAGGGAGATTCTGTTCCTAAACACCATCATCATGATAGTCCAGCTGATTGCCACAATCGTTCATTGTGAACGGTTTAGCACGTTTTCATGAGACTCAAGAAGACTTTGCTGATTTCGTCTCCCTAGCACATTCAATACTCTTACATTACCGATTAGCTCATGTGCTATTAGCGTTAACATATAGTACAGACCAGTGATTCTGAAACAGTACGGACCATTTCCAAGAACTTGTTCGAAGGCACAAAGGGAATTTAGAACGTGTGCGGCACAATGCCAGCGACTAATTCCAGAAAATGCCTCGCCACCACATTACCCCGAGGATCTGAAAGTGTTGCTCACTGGTGCTAAAGTGTGAGTTGCATCAGGAGCATATTTCCGTTGTGAAACAATTGCCTCTTCCCTACAGAAAAATGTAAAGCCTAATAGTGCTCGCTGCGGCAAACTACTGTAGTGATTTGAGATGACATGGAAAGGCCTGACAAAATGTCCAGAGTTCCGTGGTGTAGTGGGAGCACGCCTGACTGGCAAGCAGGAGGTCCGGGTTCAATTCTTGGCCGCCCCACGGCTTTCCACACCTAAGTGCCGTTGCGTTCCTTGCATCAAGTTGCTCAGCAGGGTGCACGCCTCTCCTATTCCGGAGCTCAGCATTCGTTGCCTCTTGCTGTTCAGCGGTCTGAGCGGCCCTACGCTCCCTACGTACATCTGCTTGCTGTTCGTCACTGATTCTAGCCATTACGGTTGGCACAAATTTAGGCACTTTGCACCGCAACTGCTGCGGCAAACGTTTCCGTGCTAGCACCAATCTTTTATTATCTGCAGCGACTGCCTCATCGCCGTCCTGTGGAACCTCTCTCAACTTTTTTTTTTTCACATTCAACCTCACCTCGCAAAAATCGCCAACATTTTGATGGGAGGTGCACCTCGTTTGCGCGACCTATGAAGAGAGACTTTTTGGACTATTTTGACTTCATCAATCATGAGAACTCAAATAAATCTGCCATGAAATGAAACGCAAATAGAAAACTATTGCATGGAAGCGATGGCGCGAACCGCCACGTTAGACCTAACGGGAAAAAAATAAATACAGAAAAGATAATTCAGGAAAGAATGTGTTCAAATGAAGAACTTGCAGTCGATCAATGAAAGCGTGACACGCATTCGGTTAGCTGTGTCAAGCAAAGGGTGCTACTAAGTATGAAGCCTACGGAAATAATAGGATGAGCCAGAGCCTATGGCTCACACTGAGCGCCAGGTCCATCGGGCTATAAGTACGTTGGATGGCCAAGCCTTTGGCCTAGTATAGCACAGCTCCATGGACCTGGCGCTTTCAGGGGTGGATGGTCTAGCGCATGACCAAAGATGGCATAGCCTAATGGACCTGGCGCTTTGAGTGGTGGATGGCCCAGCGTATGGCCTAAAATAATCTAGTCTCGTAGGTCTCGCGCTCGGGTGACAACCACCGCATTTCTCGGACTCATCCAATTGAAGTACATGACGACTAGGCAAGGCACAGCTTTGTAGGCCTGGCCTATGACTCAGAATGGCATTGCATCGTTGGCCCGCGCGTTGGGGGTGATAACCACGGCCACCACCACCACCACCACCATCTTGCACAGCTGGGAATGAGGGGCTACTACAGTATACCAGGGCGGTATGACGTAAAGCTGACTTCTCGGCGCTAAAATGTAGTTAGTGAGTCGAGCGATACAAAATGAATGACTCCATTGACGAACAGAGCCAACATCCGACAGGGCTGAAATTAGATCACTTTGAAGGAGATCCAAAAGTCCATCGCTAAATATGTAGCGAAATTACATGCCGTACGCAACGCCAAGCGAAGGACCTATTCCGTATCTTCTCGCTAAGGCGAGGCGTGATATGAATATTTTCAGGTGCTTTCGTTAAACGGCTGCTGCGGGTATTCCCTGGTGGCCAAAAAAAAGCCTAGACTTGATGGAGCCGAGAGGGAAGGTTCATGTTTACTGGATGTCATTTGTCGGCTTCTGCCTCATCTAGCAGTTGAGAAATGAATGCGCAAATTTCAGGAGTCAGGAGTCAGGAGAGTTAGTGATATCAAGAGGCGATTTCGCCCATTTCGATATCACATGTCGAGGTCGAGCGTTCCTTAATTTTAGGGTAGGCCTAACCCTCTTAAAGCTAAATATTATTGTATTTTTTTTTTTACTATCCTAGTTGCTTACTGTCTAGTACCTACGTCAAAATTGCCCCCCACCTTTTTGCCTGTCCATGAAAGCATCTAGTTTCTTCTTAAAGATAGTCACAGCGCGGGGCAGCCACTACTTCGTCATCTAACGCATTCCACGCGTTCACCACTCTGCAAGTAAAGAATTCCTGTCTCGACCTGAGCCGCACCTGCGGTTTGCGCAACTTAAGTCGGTTACCTCTCGTTCTCTTGCTGTCATCAAACTGGAAAAACCTACCACACTCGACATTATCTATTCCTTTAATTATCT